AATATTTTTTTTTCCTTCAGAAATGTATTGATGATGTATTTTTACATTTTCATAGTGTTTTGACCCCAGTTTGTGAGTTAATTATTTCTCCTCAAAACATTCTGATCAGAGGCCTTGCTCTCAGACGTAGTTTATCGTCTTACTCAGGATCCTACTATAGTTTATCTTCATACCTAGGACGGTGCGAATGTAGTTTATCGCCATACTCAGGACGTTGCTTACAGGCTCTGTCCATGGTATTCTCAGTATCCTTCTGTAGAATCAAATTTCTATCACTTCATGTTTCTTCTTCATCTGTGGTGAGATTGCCAAGCAATCATTGCCTCATAGGAAGACCGATATTCCATAAAAGTTCAATCTTTTCTTTGTTTATGACGAATTTTTCCCCTCTTTTAATACATTGCTTAGCTTTTGAAAAACATCTTTTGCAATCTCAATTTCCGTGTCGCATTTTCCGTTCACTTTTAATAGCATTATATAGGAATTAAGTGTCGCTGCCGACACTTGAGTTTGAACATAGATCGCCAGTGAGCAAACGCAGGTGACTCCATTATTGAATTACCACGTGACCATAAGAGAAACACATAAGTAGGAAGTCGCGTGACGTCTAAATGACCGCTATTTCTATTCTATCCTCTATTACTATACGGATCTCTATTTCTAGTCTATCCTCTATTACTATACGGACCGCTATTCTCTACTCTATTCGCTATACTATTTCTCTATTCAGAACATTATACAGATTACTATTCGAGCGAGTGTTATCGAGAAAGTACTATTAGTGCGAGTGCTTATTGGAAGGCGTCTGACAACAGTATTGTTCAACAACGTTACTATAGTTGTATCTGCGATTACAAAGTCTCTACTACAACGAGTATTTACGAAAGTGACAACGAGTATTCGTTGACATTACAAAAGTAGCAACGAGTGTTCTTTGACATCACAAAAATAAGACTTCCTAGATATTTAAATATTTGTTCTTGTTCGTTTTTTGGTATTTTCAATTCGTTGTTCGCATCACGGCCTGTTCCTTTTGCTGACAACTTTTGCTGTTTTCTTACAATTGATGTTTAGTCCTTTCTTCTCGTTTTCCTATACTAACTTTTGTTGGAGTTTCATTTCTGTGTCTGCTATCAGCACGGTGTCATCTGCATATCTAATGGTGTTGAGATTGTGACCGCCAATAATAAATCTTGGTAGAACTTCTAATTCTCTCAGGAACGCCTCAGTGTAAAAATTGTATAAGTCCTGCGAGAAGACATATTCTTGTCTTACACCTCTCTTTTTTATTTATTTTTTTTTTCAAAAATGTACTTACATACTATGACACCATTACTGCTTTTGAAGTTTAGCTACGCAGTCCAAATAGTTTACATGACGACGACTGAAGAAAGTTAACAAAAACAGTCCCAGACTTTTAAAAAAAATATGTATGATGGCGTAACATGTTTGATTTTGGGGATCTACTGCCAAAACAGTTAGGATTAAGGACTGATCTTGAGTGGCAGCAACTAAAGTTAGTTATGTGCCATGCGTGATAAGCAATCATACATCTTTCGATACATGACTGACGAGACAGATTTTTTCCTGCAGTAGGTTGTCATTTCTTTCTGTATATATATATATATATATATATATATATATATATATATATATATATATATATATATATATATATATATATTATTATTATTATTATTATTATTATTATTATAAACGTTATTTTTAGTAGGTACACTAAATAGCTGTACCCACTAAAAATAACGTTTATAATAATAAGAAACAATGTCAGATAAAAAAGTTAAGCAACGATGAGCCTGATCCGCGACCGCTGGGTAATACAAGTTGTTATAAGCATGGTTGTACGGGTAATGTAAAAGATAGTCATATATGTGCCATACGTGATACACGCTTAGACGATAATGTATCTTTCGATACATGACTGACGAGACAGTAATTTGCCATTTCTTTCTGCGGTGGACCAGTTGCCATCCAAGGCTAGAGAACCCAGTCTGTCCTGCTATTTACCCAACGCTTGAGAGGGGCGGGGAGAGGATCTATACCTTTCCCGAGGGTATTAGCACGTAAGTGAACATAATGGATTTGTTGTGTCGGAAACCTACCACCCCTCTTGAAGATGAAGTCTGCGTCTGTGAACAAAGACTTTAAATAGTGGCATGTCAGTTGACATGGGAAAGATAGATAGACAGAGAAGTTCTTAGCTGAGCTAGTTATTGACTACTCAGGCGATTTCTGTACCTTTTTACCACCCTATTAAAACCCTTTTTATTGTTACGTGTTATTTGGCGTTTGTCTCTACTAACCCCAAATCAACATCATAACAGGATTCGACTGGAATTCGAACTCGGCTCGACGATTCCTCAATCCAAGCCGCTATCCATTACTCCACCGTATGATTTAATTGTGTCAAGTACAGAGGTAGGGTCTCAATGCCTATCACAGTTACAGAGGCACATTCTGGACATCAACTGGATCGACATCAACATAGAATTTCTAACCAGCGCTCAGATATCTAGTCTTTTTGTCCTGTAGCTTTGTCCCCGCTGACTGGATCACGGACATTCTTTGTCAGTCTCTGGGGAAACAGAAAGTCCCTCTTTACGGGGAACTGGAAACTATCAAGTAAGCACGATGACGACTCCGTCTTCGTTTCAAAAGGTCATGAAGTCATGGACCTGGACGTCGAGAAATGAGAGGATGCTATGAATGATGGCTGTCTCTAGCTTTGGGGGGGGGCGTAACTAGGTAACTGACTATCGCGAGAAGAAGAGACGACCAGGGTTGACGCCGAGGAAGAGCACACTCAACGCGAAGAGAGAAACAAGTTAACTCGGAAGGAGAATGCGGTCGGCTGCAGCCTTGTGAGCCCGTGAAGCAAATGTTGCGCTATGCAAAAGCACCCCAGGCATAGATCTACGCCCTCTCGCCAGTGAGCAAACACAGGCGATCCCATTATTGAATTAAGTAGACCACGTGATCATAGGAGAAACGAATAAGTAGGAAGTCGAGTGACGTCTAAATGATCGTTATTTTTATTCTAACCTCTATTACTATACGCATATAGCAATAGATTCACGCCTTTTCGAAAGATGGGTGACATTCTATAGGATAATATGTATCTTATGGTTGCGAAAATTTAACAAGACCTCAAAAAAATAGCAAAGAAATCTAGCTTTAACAACGGTAGCCGATTTTGAAGATGAACTCAAAACTTTGCCGATCGTAACATCTACATTTTTGAAATTCATAGATAGCCACAAACAACACTCCCAGATGGGAGGAGGTCAACAGAGTAATGCTGAGCAGTTAAAGTAATAATACATTTCGATGGCGGTTATTGTTTAGCGACATATCAACCCATTATAAATCTAAATATTTTAGACGTAATTATATTTATTTATTTTGCGATAGTAATTGTTTCAGTGATAGAAATTATCGTAGTATGTATGTATATCTGGCCATTCTTATTCGAGGATACCCGTCTAATAAAGCGGTTAGCCAATCCCTATTGCAGACGCTTGCTCAGGCGCATTTGTGTTTATTCAACACTCACAGAGCCCACCTGTGGTTTATACTGCAACTAAGTAGGCCTTAGTTTCTGGGAAAGAGCGTGTTATCTAGCGTGATCAACAATTTGAAAAAGGCCGGCACGTTCAATTCCTCGGCCACGATGACTTGTGACTTCGTGGTATAATATACTTGTAAAATATCATTAGCTGTGATGTCGATCCTCACTTATTGTCCTACAGTTTTGGTTTGTTTTTTTTTTAATTTTTTTTTGTTTTGTTTTTTGGGGGTTTTTTTGTTTTTTTTTTTGTTTTGTTTTGTTTTTTGTTTTTTTCGTTTTTTAGTGAAATATCGTTTCATAGGAGATAAAAGCTTTCTTGGCGACAGGTAGACATTACTTGTTATATCAAGAAGTGTTCGTTGCGAATGTGATTCTTTCCGCGTGTTGGACCTAAGAGGGAAAAGACGAGCATTCAGTTTGTTCTCTTTTTGCCTCTTCTTTGCTGAGGAGGAAATGATGTAGGGCGTTTCTGATTGGTTGCTTGCTATTTCAAGATCACCAATGGCAGTTCTTTATATGTCCGTTGTCGTGTGATTGGTCGATATTTGCTTCAGAGTCGCCTACCGGAATAGGAATTGTTTCGGTAGGCTCTCTTGGGTGAACAGGTATGATGTTGAAAGACCCGAAACTTGTCATGACCCCAAGACATAATATCACTGATGAGGCGATCCTGCGCACCCGTTGGAGTGTATTCATAACAAAGTTTCAATGATAGAAAATATCGTGGTATAATGTACTTGTAAAATATTATGAGCTGTAATGTCGATCCTCACTTATTGCCCTATTTTTGTGACAAAACCAAGCTAGGCTGGTTCTTTGTTTTTTTTTTGTACACAGTCTTATTTTAATTTAGAGATAATAATTAGTGACACAAGTCCTACTAATTAACCCATAGCTGAGGAGAGAAGAGGCGGATTTTCGCAAATGTATATGCGTGTTTCTTTTTTTTTTTTTTTTTTTTTTAAGCATTACGCCCCGAGCAAGGCGTGAAGCCACTAGGATGCAGGGGGTTGCAGAAGATTTGGAGCAAGAGCAAATAGGAATGATAGAAGAAAGGATGAGGAGAGGTATAGTGGATAGATCAAGGTAACTGGAGATGTCGATTGACATTACATTTGAATAGTTGGAGATTATAGCTCTCAGGGAAACAGTAATTGGGAAGGGTGTTCCACAGGCGAGAGGTGCAAGGTATGAAGCTATTGGAGTAGAAGAGACGGCTACATTTAAAAGTTTCTACAGTATAAGGGTGGGAGCTGGATGCCAGCCTCGTAGGGCGCTTGAATTCATGGAGTCTGGGAACCAGTGAAAGCAGCGTGTAATCGAATATAATGAACCCGACTGGAATTGGCACTCTGCTCTCCGATTAACAATTCTCAGCCATTATCCATTATACTACGGCGTACATCCAAGCTGACAGAACATGGTATTTCCAAGAGGTCACCCATCTAAGTACTAACCAAACTCGACGTTGCCTAACTTCGGTGACCGTCGTACGGGAACCAATGTTTCAACTTTATGCGCCCGTAAGCACTAGTGTATTTCTTTTGAATGTTGAAGCAGCCAAAATCTTTATTAAAAGAAACGGTTGTCTACGCCTCAAAGTTTGTAACGGTTGGGAATACGGAAACACCTGAGACATAAAATAAACGGTCAGTTGAGTAATACCTTTGGTTTACGTCATTTCCAATCTGAATTGCAATTTGAAATTGTTGGCCTTCCTCGCATATCCTTTTCCTATAAATACACTTGTTAAATATTCGCCATGTGAATGATTAAATGCATTTATGTAGTTAGATTTTCATTTGTCGGTGGAATCCTTACAAGTAAGCTCCAAGGAGTCAAGGGACGGCACATTCCTTGTACAAGTTCACTCAAGTAATAGCCGTGACGCGGTAAGTGACAACAGCGTAAAAATGGTTTCAACTGAACATGCGGACCTCCCCACTGCGCACGAACAAAGGGCGCTCAAAGTGCAATTTAACCGCCCAGCTAGCAATGCTTCGCGTGCCGGTTGAACCCGTTCTGGATGGCGGGCGTTCCTCGGTGGACGGGGCCGCCTCAGGGACCGGAATGTCGACGTGGAGAAAACACAAAAAGGGTCGTGACTTCATTTCCAATCACAGCGGGAGAAGCAGCCTCACACATTCAGCGGCAGTCTCCTCCCACTTCGAACACTTAACTCGATCAAGATACCTGCCGATGAATGACAATTTATATATATATATATATATATATATATATATATATATATATATATATATATATATATATATATAGATATATATATATATATAATTGATAGAAATTTATTGGAAAATAGTTTGGTATATAGAAAATCCATTTTGTTCTTTCTTACTATCATTCCTCTCTCTTTTTCTCTGTCTCCTGTGTCTTTCTGTTTCTCTCTCTTTATATATATATATATATATATATATATATATATATATATATATATATATATAATTGCATTTGAGAAGCATTCCTTCTTTTTATATAGCTATCAAAGACGACTGACAAGGTATTGGGATTAAGCTTTTTATTTAATTTTTCTTGTTATACGTGCAAAAGAAAATGAAATAAAATGTTTAATCGAAGTACCTAATCAATCGTCTTTAATAAAACTCATACATATATATATATATATATATATATATATATATATATATATATATATATATATATATATATATGTTTATATATGTATGTGTAAAAAAAACACCAAGGCACTTTTGTTAAGGACGTTTTTTTTTAATTTCTTCATATTTCCTACCATTTCTTTGTTTTCTACTACACCATTGAATCTAAATGTCTGGTATACTTTCAGAAGCCATTATCAATTTTCTTATGTCAGCTTCGTTGTTTTCCATATAATACGTCTTCACAAGTGTTTGTTTTTTAAAGCGTGAGAGTTCGTATTGCCGTAGCACTTTATATATATATATATATATATATATATATATATATATATATATATATATATATATATACACAAATGTAAGGAGAACGAAAAGAATATAAATTCAAACGTTCATAACATTAATTTAAAGGAGGGCTCAATACCAAATATAGAGCAAGAGTTATTTATTATAAATTGTTACATACGGATAAACAAATACTTACAACAAAGCTGCTTGTTTGTTTCAATGCGTAAACATATACGCATCTCATCAGGTGATGGCAACCATCTTTGTTCACCACCTGATGAGATTGTTAAGTTTAGGCAGCGAAACAAATCTGCATCTTTCTAGTGATTACTTGTTTATTCGTATGTAACAACTCATAATATATATATATATATATATATATATATATATATATATTATATAAAAATAATTTCGTTTTCTCACATAGTAACATATGTTAGAAAACGAAATTATTTTGCACCAGTTGGTGCAAAAATAATGACGTAATAATGTCGTTTTTTTATGTATTTTTTAACGTCAAAAAAACGACATTATTACGTCATTATTTTTGCACCAACCTAATATATGTGTGTGTGTGCTTTTGTGTCTGTGTGTGCTTTTGTGTGTGTGTGTGCTTTTGTGTCTGTGTGTGCTTTTGTGTGTGTGTGTGTGTGTGTGTGCCTGTGCGTGTGTCTGTGTGTGTGTGTCTGTGTGTTTTAATCAGTTCACCCAAACATGGCGTCAATGCCACGTAGACAACCAAGGTGCCAGTGAAAGAGAATGAGAAAACTTTAGAAATAACCGTAAACCTATTAAAAGTATAAATTTCACTCTTTAGGCGGAAACATTAGAACTATAGCGTTTGAAGTAGAATTTAGAAGTAACCGGAAACAATGGATAAACCTCTACACCTGTCCAAAAGTGGTTGGAGGAGTGTGATAGAACGTACACACACACAGACAAACACAGACAGACACACACATATAAATATATATTTTTAAGACACTTTTTTATGTTTATACGTTCTTTTTATAGATACAAATATTTAAGTAAATGCTCTGTTTATAATAAACAGTATTAACGACAGTTACCGGGCATTCAGGCCGGTAAATGTTGTTAATACTATTTATCATAAACAGAGCATTTACTTAAATATTTGTATCTATAAAAAAGAACGTATAAACATAAAAAAATGTCTTAAAAATAATTGTCGGACTTAGTCCATTTCATTTATATATATATATATATATATATATATATATATATATATATATATATATATTTATTGATTTTCATAGAGTCATGTTCTAGTTTTTAATAATATATATTATGTCATTTGTTCACTGCTTTCATCATTACCTTCTTTAGCAAATACTTATAAACATGTAGTATTCATCTACTATAATAAATTGTATCAATTATTAGATAGATAGATAGATAGATAGATAGATAGATAGATAGATAGATAGATAGATAGATAAACAAACTGACAGACGGGAAGATAGATAGATAGATAGATAGATAGATAGATAGATAGATAGATAGATAGATAGATAGATAGATAGATGTGTTTGTATACGGGCCATCTTTTGGGACCAAAAGAAAAAATTAATTTGTTCATTTATGGCACCAGCATGTTACAATTTTTTTTTATTTTAATTTTTGCGAGCCTTTTATTATATTGTGCTTTTAAGTATTTACTTATTTATTCATATCCTAACATTTTAATCTTGGAAAAAACGGGAGCTCTGTTCTGTCGCAAATTATTTTCTTCTTTTGGTTTGTTATATCTTTCACAATGTCTTCACGCTGAATTTACCGGCCAGCGCGTCTGTCGTTTCCAATGTCTTCCAAGACATAAATGGATGGCAGAAAACAAAGAAATTTAGTGTCGTAAATTGCGACAGTGGTTGTCTCACATTAAAGTCTCAGCAAGTTCCGTCGAATCGAAAGCAAAAAGTAAAACTAGTTTGCGGGTATAATTCTATATTTGCATCGGATTTGTTTTACTACTTTCTAAGAGTATGCAGTACCACTTTCCCGACTGACAATTCTACTTCAGTTGATAGCGAATTTTGTCCTGAATTCACTCATAATATTTTGCCAATTACTAAGAAATTATTTACGAGGGACTTCAGGTGGTTGGAATGTTGAACTAAACCCTTTTCGCTCACTGGGGTAGACTGTTCTAGTTCCACGTGCCATGTCTAATGGATGTTAGTTATCAGTTATCTCCTGCTATTTCCCCTCTGCAAGTTCTCCACTGCCTTAACCAGGTATTGAACTCACAACTTTTTGATAACAGCAAAAAATTACAATATGAGCACTGGTAAAAAAATGATTGCTGAGACATTAGGCTTATAATACCCAGAAATTCATACACAGATGTCATCAGGGACACATGGAACAGTGACATGACCCAAAGAGTGTGAGTTCAATATCCGGTTAAGGCAGTGGAGAACTTTGAGACATCCATTTAACATGGCATGTGGAACTAGTCTACCCCAGTGAGGTTCAGTTCCACATTCCAACCACCTGACGAAGGCCGGAGCGTACAACGGCCGAAACGTTGTGATAAATATGGCGACACAGATGAAGACAATAGTGCAAATAATGTAAATAGTGTACATAATACCTCATCTCAGAAATATAGACAGATGTTCAGTTCGACATTCCAACCACCTGAAGAAGGCCGGAGCGTACAACGGCCGAAACGTTATGATAAATATGGCGACAATGATGAGGACAATAGTCCGAATAATGTAAATAGTGTATATCCCCACACGTTCATTAAAAATGAGTATTTCATATATCTGTAATAAATGCTTAAAAAGAGACTTGTTCTGAGCTTGGGTAAATAGGGACGATGGATAAAGTTTCAGCAAGATTTGATTCATACACAAAGTCGAATCAACCTCAATCTCTTCATATTCCATTGTTAAGACGAGATTTACACCCAGACTGTTCCTTTTAGAGTATCACTATCTTGTGAAACAGACTTCCAAGAGGGTGCTTCCCTCTGTCTTACGGCCATATAACATTGAAACACCGGTTTTTGTATCACCGTCAATAGTCGAACCTGGTAAGTATCAAGGTTGATAGTCGCTTGGAAATACCAGGTATTGTAAACTTGGATGAGCGGGTGGTGCTATGGATACAAGCTCATAATTGGAAATCAGGGAGCTGAGTTCCAATTCCAATCGGGTTCGTTATATTCACTTACACGCCAATATCCTTGGGAAAGGCATGAACCCACCTATTTTCTCTGCAGCAATGGGTTAATTAATAAAACCCATATCAGTAAATCATAATTATCTACAAAACATTCTTATAATCTAAAACTATTTTCTGGTTTTAAATAACTAGCAAAAGGTTGATAAACCGTAAAAAACAAATTAATCAGTTCGTAATCAATACAATCTTAACCTCTTCAACGTTAGTGTCAAACTATTCTATACACGCTTAATATCTGCACTTACTCCCTCCTCTTACTTCTTTACACTAATAACGTTCAGTCGTACTCTGCTTTGAATGTCTTGTGTACCTTGTATTGTGTAGACATTTATTAGGTATTATTCTTAGAATATCCCTACACTATATATCTATAT